TCCCTAACTGGGAGGATCACGGAAAATCAGCTCAAAGTACCTTTTTTATATTTTGTTTTGAACAAACTCATTTTAGAAGCACGTAAGAATAATGGGTTTGAAGCCCTCTGTAACAAAATACAACGAAAACACTAAAGACAGATTTCTACATTCTGCAACATTCTTTTTTCTTTATTAAAGCAGGAAATATATTATCACAGCTAAAGCACTTCTGGTTGGATTTAATCTGTATTTCATTGCCTTGTGCTTGGAATGTGCAATTGCATTAAAGTTTAATTCAATCATAATGCTAATTATTTACAGGTGTCATTTTCTGCACTTCCATTTGAAGTAGACATTCACTTTTAGGGTTAAGAGAAACGAGGTGCCTCAAGATGGAGATTCTCACCTACATTTGTCTTGTAATGCTTATGATTCAGAGGCTCTTCAGATCTGCTTTCACAACTGATGATTACAAGTCATTTTGCTCCATCTACTCATCCTCTGCTGGTTGGGGATGCGCTTATGTGACTCCAGTAGATACTTTATATATAGGCTGATTACAGTATTAGGGTTTAACCATCAATTAACACTTTAATATTGTATAAAATTAACAGGGTGAAAATATACCACAACTAATGATACTGGACATCCGTTACCCAGTGGCCAATGTCAGAGTGTCATTTCAGCAACTATGAGAAGGGTTGAAACTTTTTAATATTAGACAGATAGACAGATAAAGAATATTTTAAAAATTATTTATTGATTCAATTTTACTCAATTTATAATTTACTGATTTAAGCACAGTTTCTTTATTTAAACTTAAGGGCATTAAAGTGTCTATAATAGTATACAAAATACATGTAAGAAGATAAGGGAAGAAGATAAATATATTTTTTAAAATATGTATATATAAAAACATAAAAAGTATGAACTGGTAAACTGTCACTAAAGTTAATCTCATGCCTGTTCCAGGTTATTTCATCACTTGATATTTGGTCAAAAATAGAAATAATTAAAATTGATTTATTCACATTAAGACATTTTCTTTCAGCAGTGCACTATGTTTCATCTTACAGTTATTTATGGTAATTTTGGTCAAGATCATCTATAAATTCCTTATTAAAAACACATTTTTTGAATAATCTTTAAAGCTTAAAACTCCACCTTGCACTTTAATATGGCTAAATCTGTGCTAATCCTCACAGCTGAAACTTGTAACCTTTTCTGTTAAGCTTTAAATCACTGTCCCCTTTTTATGACCTTTTGATGGCTCAGCCTTGGTAGCCTGTAAATACCCTCTATAGCAAGGAAAATATATCAAATAGCATAAATATTACAATTTTGATTAATTGACTGATAATCAGATAGCAAACAGTTCCTTAAAAAGATTTTTTATGGAATTTAAACCAGTTGAAACAAACTTTTCCACTTGAGGAGTTTTGGATAAGGAATATTGACAGAGGAAAACTTTTTTAACGTAAGTTATAGAGGATGATCTTTTATTTCCAGGTGGATCATCTAAATAAGTGGTCCTCTTATTGTCAATCATTCTGGTGATATGTTGATGTAAGGTGGTCGTACATGCTCGTCCCGTTAGCTATCTTTTTCTGCGAATGCGCACTTTGAGGCGTATATGTGTGTTAAAAGTAAGGCCTCAGAGGAGGCAAATATATCCCGGAATATTTTACTCGGAGAGCTCTCCTCGCAAAGCAGTATGGGATTTGCTGTCACACTGGCCCTAATAACAAAGATGGCGCAGGTGGAAGAGTTACGTGATCAACGGAGAGCAAAAAGCAGTGATCATCTGTCCAAACGGTAAGTTAATGGAGTTCGCTATAAAGTCCACTATATAGTTTATATAGTGACTGAGGGATTTATGGATTAGGACGGATGTTTGGTCACAGCGAGCTTGTATGAGCTATGAGAACAGCAACTTTTAAACAGAGCGTGCACGAGGAGAAATGGGCTTGTGCACACCCTCGCACACGTTTAATAGGCGTTCCCTCTCAGGTGCGGGTACAGGGTTGTGCATGTGCATTTTTTTTTTTGTGGAGAGGGAGAGTCTTTTAAAAAATTCTCAAAAATCCTCCACAATACCTTTAAATAAAAACATATTTATACTTTTTTTTTTTTTACAATTTTGTTTAAAGTATTGCTCTAAGTGGGTTGCTCTGCCAGCTGAAGGTATGTTTTAGAGTCTCTATACTTCAGTTAACAATTAATTGATTAATTAATTAGTTGATGAATATTTTAGTAAACAAATATTCAGAATAATCATGATTAAATCTTTATTGACATATAATATTGGTCAATTTAAAATGTATATATGATGAAAATTTTAATTTAATTGTGTAATGTGCACATCTCACCAGTATAATACTGACAGCCACCCTTAAGGGTCTAGTCCACTATAAATTCTGTTTTGAAATCTGCTTGCAACTAAAACAGTTCAGCAAGTACTAGTGTCATTATGAGAGAACCATAAATTAAACTAAAGTGCTTACAGTTAGCCAAGTAAGACTGCACTGTAGATAGATTACTGAGGATGTTTAAAAAGCAGCAGTCCTCTGATCTTTGCTCTTACTCAGATCAGCAGTTTAGATGGATCAGCTTAAGGGTTGTTTCAGAGCCTAAATCACTTTATAAGGCAAAGGTCTGCTTCAAACTAATGTCACTGCCAAAAACTGGTCCATTACCGGAACACATATTACCAGCAGAGAGGGTAAACAGGTACAGGACGTCATTAAGAAGATTCCATTTGAAGTTCACAAAATCTTTCCTGAACAGCACAGAATGGGTGTTGGCATATTGTTACTGGAAATGCCTGCTGATTGACACGGGGCATGATGAGAGTCGTGCTGCAGACTGTTTGGACTGGACTGCTGCCTAATGATCAAAGAGTAACAGAGAGTGTTAAAGTTTATATTTTTAATTAGTGGAAATTTCAGAGGGAGTTAGATTCACCTTAAAAGTTTAATTTAATGCTTTTATACAGTTTAGCAGGTGGTTTTAGGCCCCCCAACACTGCCCCCACACCCACAGCCATCCCTCCCCCATTGTAGTAGAGCTAAACTTCAAAAGCGTCTTATCACTGTCACATTCCCTCAAAAAAACTACAAAAAAAAATACAGAAATGGAAACCGGATGCAAAGGCTTACACTAGGTCAGTCTAACACATGAGCTAAAGTCTAAAAATGCTTTGAATTTTGGCTTGTAAAGGGAAGAGCTCTTGTATAGGCCTCTTGACCTTTCTACTCACTTCCTTCCTGATAAGTGAAGGAATGCTCTGTCAGATTTAATTAAATTGGTAGGTGCATGCATTTTAGAGTTCTCTTAGAAGTGTAATTCAGTGAAGATAAGATTTCTAAAGAAATGGATGAAGTTTGGTGGAATGAAATATGTAAAATGAGTTACAATTTGAAAAATCCTTAACAAATACTGGGCATTTTCAGGATCTCTTGACATGAATATTTTTGCTATTGAAATTAAACAACTTAAAATGCAGTCTGTTTCAATGTGGTTTAGATATCCCTATGGTAAAACCAAGCAGATACACATGTAATTAAAAAAAATAATAATCTAAACCCACCTCTTCACTTTATGTTAGAAACAAGAGCGCAAAGAAACGACAAGTTTTATGACTTGTTAAAGGACAACTTAACCAAATGTGGACTGTAAAAGTAATAATAGATTTTATATGAATTCTACAAGCCCTGGATATTTTTTAGACAATTTACTGGACATGTCTTGTGTTCGTATATTTTTGTATGATGTCTATAAATGCAATGGATCCATTTATAGAGATGCAACAGGAATGTTCTGGCTATTACAGCAATGCACATAAAAAAACATATATACATATTTAGACTTCAAACTTCTGAAAGTACTCTAAATACGAAATCATTGAATACTGTTTAATAAATGTTTTAATTAAGAGTAATTGTTTTATTTAAATGTGCTTTACTGGAGAATTACATTCATGCTACCTACCGCTTTGTGACGTCAGGGTGCGGAATCGGCTGTTGAGCAAGTCCCAGTACTGTATTGGGTGTTTGTCACAATGCGCTAATATCCAAGTCATCTTGAAAACATTGTTCTTCGGAATGTTGGCAACATATGACGTGTTTTTTCTCTGGCCAGAAGTTCAATGGCAAATCCTCCCTCTTCAAGTTGGCAACCCAACAATGAACCCGTTCGGGGTGGATCATGAATCGGAAAGGTTAAATAACTCTTTTTTTTTTTTTCACTTTTACCCGATGTAATACAACATTCAACTGCCATGCACTTGGGCATTGTCGGTTTAACTATAGCTCTCATAAATTTCAATGGTGAAGTCCCCGCGAAATCTAAAATAATTTCTGATTGCAGATGTGTCTAGTAGTTCCCATTGATATTGCTTGTAAAGCAGGGAGAATGGCGTTACACTTACCGCACCGTAACGTCACTGCTGGAAGATGTCAGGAGTGAGGTGTTACTGTATTTGGGTAAAAATGGTCGGTACCACCAGACTCAGTAATCATGATGGAAATTATTGTTTTGATTTTTTTTACTGATTGACGCTAAATTCATTAAATCAATGCAAGCATATTAGTTTTAGATAAAGATAATGATCCATTGATTATTCCTTTCTGACCAGACTTTTCTTTTAAAGCAACGGTAGCAAGAGTGGAATTGGAACTTGAGATGTATGGCTGGAGGAGGCCAGTGTAGACTACTTTTTCATTTTTTTTTTATTTTGACGACATGTACTACAAAATAATGTCAAACAAAAATAAAGAAAGATATTCTCTTAAGATGTTTATGGGTAGGTTTAAAAAAAGCTGTTTTAAAACCTATGAAAGAAAGGTTGAATCATTAATCCACCATGTGTTGCTCAGTTTGGGGAACAGCCAGCCACTTCTGCCCAGCGTCTTTCTCCAGTCTACTACTTGCCTCCTCCGGTTCTCCCGTTGCTAGCACCCTCTGCTCTAGAGCGAGGCATAAATTTGGCCGATGCCTTTTTTTTTTGGTTCTGGTACACTCCGTGCTCGGGTTGCTGTTCGGATAGACTGCCGTTCTCCTCCTTCGATGTTCTGCTGTTCACTGTGTTAGCTTCCAGAGATGGCCCCAGCCACCCACCGCCTCTGCCCCGCTCAGGTGCACCTGTCTGAACTCTAGAACCTTTTAGATTCCTAAGGAAGAGATCCTTATCTAGTTTGAGCTGCTTCATTTAGGTTACAAGGCTACAGCTACAAAAAAGCGATGAAGTCTGACTCTGACAATCCACAAGAACCACTACGGGAAAGTTATGCACAACTGGCAATGTTGACTAGATGCTGTGTAAGAGCACAATATTATAGTCTTACATCAATGTCCGAAATACCTGTCAATATTTGGGGGGGGGTCCCCATCTCCCGATTGTTGCGCAATACCGATATAAATTTTCTCAATATGCAGTAGGTCTATCACATTTCAAAGTCAGCTTTAATGTCAATTCTTCAGATTCAACAGACATACAAGGACTCGAGAGGAAGTTTCTCATTCACCAACAGTGAAACAGATAAAGTGCACAGGCACAACAGATAAGATCAGTTACAGAACCCAGATGTTGAGTATGTGCATATTCAAACAGCAGGCCTACCTAATAAGCTCTCTATATCAAATCTCTCTATATCAAGTGGTTTATAACCTTTTGGCCTCATCATCAAGCACATCATCGGCGGCTCTAGACAAATTAAAACGATAACAAAAGCGAAGCTGTATTGGGCGTGCTCAATTCCCTTCATGTTCCATGATTGCATCACAAGGTTTTCAGGCAAATTGGTTGCATCCACTCCGAGGCACAAATGAAGGGCACCCCCTGGGTGCTGATATCAAATTGATTTTTAAAAATGTGGTATCGATCTATTTTACTTTCAAAATCGCGTGAAATTTCATCGTTCTGTTACAAACTCTCGTGATATTTTGCAAATTCTTGTGAAACTCAGAAGCTGATCAAATATCGGGTTAAATATCGGTGGGGTGGCCGATGTTCGATATTCAGTTTTAAGGCTGAAACAGGCCGATACCGATAGGGGGCCGATTATATCGTGCATCCCTAATATATATATAAACTTCAGTCATGCAACTGTGTTTACAGCTCCTTATTTCATGTAAACTAATAACTTGTGTACATGACACTTGTTGATGGCATTAAATTTATTTCTAATAGCATTAAAAAAGCATTAAATTAGAGACACTCATTCCCGTATAAACCCTGTGAACGTTTAATTTAATGACATATTAAAAAAAATCCCCATCATCATCCAGCAGATGTTCAGTTTCTGCCCAAATATTTTCTTTCTATTGTGGATTTTTGTAACAGGGATAACTAGGACCATACATAGTTTGTATGAACTCTGTTTGTTCTCTGCTTCCAAACTCATCATCTTTTCATCCACTCCTGCAAGAAGAATTTTATTTTAAAGTTGTGAGATGCGCTCTAGACTCTCACAACTTCTACCTGGTCTGTTGAAGCACCGATAGTCTCCATCCAATTATTTAATTAATTGCTCTTAGTTTTTTGGATATATACAAACTATGCTCTAATTTCTAGTTACCAATCTGTTTTTACTATAATTTAATTTGACAAACCGGGTCTTCTCTACATTCTTTTTCCTGTTTGGTGCAATTGCGGGTCTTGATCTGGACGGACCGGAGTGGAGCAAAAAAGAGCTCAGTTCCATATTTTGACGGTGAAGGACGTAGAAGACGTACGTGGACAGAGACGTGCGGAGGAGTAGCGGAGGATGTGGAACAGCTCTCATTGATTTACATGACAGACAAGTACTCCGCACTACGTACGTGAGCAGAGTGGAGCGCTGACGGAGTATGTGGAATCTGGGGGTAAAGGAGGACAAATACACGTCCGGCTGGATGCGGCGCCGGACGCCGGACAGTGCAATGAAAATCCGGACTGTCCGCCCTAAAGCTGGACATCTAGCCACTCTACTTCCAACTCTTGTTCTTTCCCACTCACCATACCCACACAATTCTCTACAACTGATTTTTTTCTGCTACACCCGGCTATGCGGCTTCGCTTCTTCTTCTTCTTGTTTGCTACTGGTGGTTGGCTTTGGATGCAGTACCGCCACCTTCTGCTCTGGAGTGTAAATGCTTCACCTATGAGAAAAAGGGGCAGCGCATGAACCGAACGCAACACACACGAATCGAACCGAGACAGTCCAACCGAATGGTTCGGACGGTTTTTTCATAAACCGTTCCATCCCTAATATACGGTCTGCTGGTTTTCATTTGAATATGAAATAATTAATCTGTATGTATGCTCTGATTAAACTGCCTCTGTAAATATCAATATCTCTGTAAATGACTTGGCTAATGCGCTTTAAATTGGTACTATATAACTAAACTAAATTCAGAATCTGTTTAAAGCTGAAACAGAAAATTGTTCAGAGACAGGAAATCAAGCATAATTCACATATTTCTCCTGAAAAAATACTTAATGAAGATTTTTTATCTCAAACCAAGTCTTTCCTGGAAGAAAGTACCATGAAGCCCTATGTTGAGTTATTGATTTGATTTCTGGGACCTTTTTTTTGTTTGTTAGGTCAAGAGAAATTCTTACCATTGGGTGGTTGCTAGGCAACCCTGCCTTTTGGAATGTTCTAGATAATTTCACCCTGTTTTGATTTCCCTTTCTTTTTTTTAAGACCACACCCACTGTGATGTCACAGTGATGTCAGCAGAATATTTAGAAGGCTCTTACATCACTGCTCTGAGCTCAGAATTCCTTCAGACTGCCTGAGTAACACAAGGTTAACACGTTAAAAGCGTTTTGGCTTGAAGGTAAACTGATAATTGCTAAAATACACAGAAGACAAAGATTCTGCAGATATTTTTACAACGTTAGCCCTCAGGAGTAATCAAGAGAACAGCAGAATGGCACTAGAAAATCCAAGGAAGAGAAAAAACAGCACCATAGATGAGACCCCCAGAAAAAAGTTTAATTTCTCTACAGGGGATGTATACTACACATGCTGCCAGGACCAGATCAGTACATTGAGAAGCAACAAGAGGAAAATGTTTGATCAGGGAGACTCCACCGCCATAAAAAAGTTTAAGGTCTCTACGGGGGAAAAAGTCTACAAAAGCTGCCTGTACCCCATCAGTACGGTGAGAAGTAAAAAGACTAACATCTTTGAGCAGGGAGGAACACTGCTTGCCAAAAAGGCAAACGGACTCCAAGAACTAGAGTCACCGAATGTCAAAAGACTAAAGACAGACAACACCAATGATGAAACAGAGGATTCCCTTAGAGCCAAATTTAGGGAGACCTACGTTGAGCAAACACAGATTGGAGAAGGAGGCAATGGATCTGTTTTCGCTGGTTATCGTGTGCATGATAAATTACCTGTAGCCATCAAACACATCCAAAAAGCCAATGGGTATCTAGCATATGTGGATGCGAATGGAAAGCAGATGCCCTCTGAGGTGACTATCATGTTAGAACTGAGGGATAAAACAACCAGTTCAGAGGGGAAGTCAGCTATCGTGTCCATGCTAGACTGGTATGATCTGGATAAGGAACTGATTTTAGTTATGGAGAGACCCATGCCTGCTGAGAACCTCTTTTACTACATTCAAAAACACAAGGGTCGCATAACGATGAAGGATGCCAAGATCATGATAAAACAGCTGCTAAAAGCATTAGTTCACCTTCAGGAGGCAAACATCTTCCACAGAGACATTAAACCTGAGAACATCCTGATAGAGACCAAGTCAGAAGTCCCAAAACTTTATCTTATAGACTTTGGTCTGAGTTGCTTTGATTACCAAAAACACTATAACTATTTCATTGGTACGCCGGTCCATATCCCACCAGAATTCAACCAACAAGGGTTCCACAGTTCTGGACCAACAAATGTGTGGGGGGTGGGCTTAGTCCTGTATTCCATTCTGCACAAAACACATTTCTTTACTTATGGATTCCTGTCAAATATACAAAAGATCAACACAAGGCTCTCCCAGACATGCAAAGATTTTCTAACAAAGTGCCTGACAGTAGACCCAAATAAACGTCCCACCCTAGAAGAGCTGTTACACCACCGGTGGTTGTTGAGAAATGATGCTTAAATATAACCAGAAAACAGCGGCATACTTCATAAGAAAAGTTTGACAATGCAGGAATTTCACAATATTTAGAGGTTGATTTGTCCAGCTGTTCTGATTTCCCTCTAAGTCCAGGAACTTAATTCAGTTCGATATTCCTGGACTTAGAGGGAAATNTCAATCTGACTGTATGATCTGGTTGAACTGTAAAGTGCCTTGAGATGACATGTGTTGTGAATTTGGCGCTATATAAATAAACTGAATTGAATTGAAGAATGTCCACACAGATGCCTGTAGAAATATAACAACTATTTTGGCAATTGATTTTAGAAATATCTGTTTTAACAACAAAAACAACATAAAACTAGATAAAAAGTGGAACATCAGTCGGTAAAAATGCCGTAATCAGACACTGTCCTGTAGATTAAAATATTGGACAGTGTTTATTTCATTGGGATCAGTTTCATCTGAACCATCATGGTGTCTATCCAGCAACTAACCTGTTTATTAGAATAAAGCAGACAGATGTTCAGTGATGGAAGGAAGCAGAACTGTTGACCAGCTGAGGATGTAGATTATAGATCCAGATCACACAGAGCTGATTAACCTCTAATTCACAGCTATTCTTGGTGTGTTTCTAATAATTATATGCAACACCATGTTAGAATAATAGATGGGTGATTTTTTATTGGTCTCCTCTAACTGAACACTGAAGTAAAGAAACTCATCGTTTACTTTTTCCTAAACTAAAAAAATCCGTACTTCTATGTGTAGCTGGAGGGAAATGAGACAGATTCAGTTTGATCCGTTCTTCCTGCTTCCTGTATAAAATTTCATCAATTATTTATAATATTTCATAAAGTAAGAGTAATGTTAGAAGTTAATGTATGTAGTTAATTATTACCGCTTTGCTTCATATACGTCTGCATTTAGACCACCACCACAGCTAGAAACAGGAAACCCTGAAACAGATCCAAACTCTCTCCTGCTTGATCCCTAACATTTATAAACCACATCAGTCTGAGGATCGAATCGTTTTAATGTAAAACCAAACATTAATGTTTATCCAGGAGTTAAAGCTTCCTGTGATGAGAGGAGAATATATTAAATATTTCCAGCAGTGACTCAGCAGATGTTAATGATTCAATATTTTTCCCTGTTGTTTCTGTTTCTGAAGGTCCAGCTGATGAAGTTAAAACATCAACAGAATCACAGTCTGTGGGAATTAGGGCTGCAACGATTAGTCGATGTTGTCGACAAAAATCGATGATAGAAATTGTCAACAATGAATTCCATTGTCGACTATTGTCGCCAGACGCGTTTTTCCAACCGAGTGAGGCATCTCACTTGATTATGATCTCTGCCGAGAGTCGC